AAAGGTGTGTGTGTGTGTGTGTGTGTGTGTGTGTGTGTGTGTGTGTGTGTGTGTGTGTGTGTGTGCACACGCGCGTGCGTGCGTGTGTGTATGTTTGTGTGTTTGTATAGTTTGGAATGGAAAGGGGGTGGAGCGGAGAGGGGTGGGTATACGTGTTGCTTTTTTCTGAATGATAGCTCTCTTGTCTGAAAGGATTCCAAAATTTCCGTGAAATCGAACAAATAAGCCGTCTATCATTTTCAGGTTGCGTGCAACGAAACGATATAATATTTACTTAACCTTCTCTGTTAGGGCGCTCACCTCTATTTTTCTCTATTATTTTCAGCTCCTTTCCCATAACCAATTCCATCGCTGTCTGTTGTGCAATAGGGGAACTTTTCACTTTGCACTCAGAAAACCTGAGTTCTTTCGCCTCTTGCGGACGTTTATTTAATTTTGTTCTTTGTAATGTAAATGTTTTACGCCCACCCACTCCCTCCCCTACCCCCTATCAACACAATTTAGATCATTTATGAGGTGGGCTTCTGACCCTGCCTGTCAGGGCCAAACCGGGCTGAAAAGGATACTACAGCGTCCCTGCAGAGACAGAGATACTTGATAAAAAGTGTCCTCCTCTGGCGGGAATCGATCTTGAGTCGCGTGCGTGCGACAGCGAAACGCCTGACCGCTACACCATAGATTCCGATGGTGTTTATTTTATATTTTATCAAGTGCGTGTCTCCACGTCTGTCTGACCCACTCAGCTCAGATTGACCCAGCAGTGCAGGTTTTAGTTTAGTTTTTAGTAAGGCTGGCTTCGGACTGACCTTACACCATACAGAATACACCATACAGCATACACCGCACACCATACAGCATATACCATACAGCATACACCGCACACCATACAGCATACACCATACAGCATACACCGCACACCATACAGCATACACCATACAGCATACACCGCACACCATACAGCATACACCACACAGCATACACCGCACACCATACAGCATACACCGTACACCATACAGGGGGTGTCTAACTGACCGTACACAATTGACCATACATCATACACGTGTATACACCCTACACTCTTGAAGCTCAGAACAGTAGTTGTGGTTTGAATGTCGGGCATGTGTTCTGTGTTTCGTCTCGCAAAATGATGTTTTTATTAGGTGATCCGCTGATCATTGATCCTGTGATTCTGCATGCTTTGCAGCAAAGAAAAATCTGGTGTAGACCTATCTACTGTATCCGCCGGATTGAGAGTGAATATGCAACTCTGTACCCTAAGCTGCCACATAACCCGAAAAAATTCCCGAACTCAGGAAAGAAGAAAAACTGGCGATAAAAACTGCAAATCAACATTATCTATCCAAATGTATGGCCATATAACAGACAAAATAAAACATGCACATTCATAATGTGTATGGAGTATGTTGTATGTTGTATGGCGTATGGTGTATGGCCAGTCAGACTGGCACTAGTCAATACCATGTGTTCATTTCGTGTGTGGTGTATGGT